AAGGAAAAAACCACCTGGGGCCTTTGGGTTAGGGGTTGCAATGAGAATTAAATTTGTTTGGAAGAAAATTGGGGACCTCCCGTCTCTGGACAGACAGACAGCTGATTGGAGGCGGCTTTTGGCGAGTGCAAAGAGGCGTGGGATGGTGAAATGGAAAACTTGGACAGAATAAAAATAAAAATTCTTTCTTTTTTTTTTTGTGTAATGTGGGGTTTGGTGGGGTCAGGGCAAGGAAGGGGGTGGAGTGGGTCCTACAAAGGCTTGCAGTTTCTACGTCTCATTCGCCCAAATGGGGATGCCATTGGTACGGTCCATGTCAGCGTCGGTTTTGGCAGTCATTTAACTTTTCTTTCCTCCATATTTTTATTGCGAGTTTATTTCAGATATTCGGATCACTTCTTAAGATATGGGTCGTTGGCTTCTAGTTTAATTTTAAATCATGAGTGCAATGGGTTCCAGTTGACTTAATACTTAATTCAATGAAGAAAAAAACTACTTGTTTTATCTTTCCCTTAAAAATATAATTGAAAGGGTTGAACTTAAGACTCAATTATTTTAAAGCTCAAAATTGTAATATAAAATTTGTGAGCTTATATAATTAAACTCCTATTCAAATGTTAAGTTAAATAAAGAGTATATATATCTTTCTGTTTAAAAAAATTATACTTGAATTCAAATTCTCTTCTTTCAAATGAAAAATATAATTAAAATCAGATAATTGTTAATATCTCTAACATAATTATCACATTTAACACCAAAAATCAATTAATAAATTAAAAGATAAAACTTGATTAGCATGTAAGCTCACTTTGATTGAGTAGTAAGATACTTCAAATTGTAGTTTAATTTGTACCAAGAATTGAGTTCCAAAAATACATTGGATGCATATTAGCCTCGCTGTAGGTTATTTTATTCCCCTTTTTATATTGTCAAATTCTTCTATTCCCCCCCACTTGAAGGTATTCTTTCCTCCTATCTTGGGAAGTGGGTGGGTTCCACATCATCGAATCACTCCATAGCCATTATTTCATGAAACTTTATTTAAACAAAACCCATAAATGAGAAATAAATAAAAGAAATTTCCGGAGATAAAAAAGTAGGGTTTTTTTTTTCCTTTAGCTTTTTGTATCTGCAACTGCAATGCTGCGTCTCGCCGCATTTGGTGTGGGCCCCCACGGACGGTCGAACCTTCTCTCCTCTTCCACTTGGAGGTTCGATCTGGCTCCGCACCCCACTTGTTGCTTGCATTTGGATATTTAAAAATTAATACTTTAATTGGATTATTTTCTTACCGCATTATGCTTTAATTGGTTAAGTACTCTGATATTACTTGTTCCTAGCAACGGGTTCTTTGTTATCATTTTTTTAAACATTAATAATTAATTTAAAGGTTTAAACTTCGCTTTTTCTTCTTGCTTTATATTATAATTAAAATTTTATTTTTTAAATGCCAATACGAAATTTTGATACGATGAATAATTATTCAAATATCAAAATAAGTAAAAAAATCATTAAGAATAATATTTTACTATTATATAGTATTTTTTATGTACAAAATATTGTCATAATATTAAACAAATTCAAGAAAACATCATTGTTTTAACATTCAATATTTCTTTTTTTTTTTTATGTATCGCGTGGGTCAACATAAACTAAAATAGAGGAGGAACTCGTGTGGCGTTAATTCCGTTGTTAGTAAAAATAGGTTTCATCATATTGTAGTTAAGGTATTGAAAAATTCATTTATTTATTAAAAAATAATTTATCTATAATCTTAATTAATGATATGGTTAGGCAATGTTCATGCTAATTCAAATAAATGAGAATTAAACAAATTTTAATAAGTAAATTATCGAAATTGATCATGATTTATGTTGGTTTGGTTGATATGATAAAGATTTTAAAATTACAAAAATAAATAAATGATTTTCTTTTGTTTTTCTTCATTATTTTTTAATGAAAACGATAATGCTAGGTTATTATACAATACCTGCCTTAGCTACTGAGTGAATAAATTCCAGGTAGGGAATCTTTCTTCTGTAGGACATAAGTATAACGTCATTAACCACTTAAAAAAAGGAACCAGACAAAAATGATTAGCCGGTAGAAATTGGGTTTAATTTACCATGTAAATTAGGTCAGTTTTTTTTTTTTTGGGATCAAGTAATGTTACTATCTTCTTAGTGCAATTGATGAATCAGTTGATAATCAAATAACACATCATTGGCTTAATAGAATAAGTAAACATCAATTAAATTGCGAAGGTATAATTGAACCATTTTACAATTAACCGCTTAGTTAAAATATTATTTAAAAATATTTTATATTAAATATAATAATTGATAATTAATATCATAATTTTAAATACTAACGTAACTTATTAATATATATATATCCATAATATATATAAAACTATGATAACTGATTAAGTTAATTAATTGATATCTGTCATTCTCAATTGGATTATTTTTTTTTATACTTTAGGTCAAAACTACATTGTTTTTGACATGTGAAAGTTTTTTTTTTACTTTTATTTATTTTAATAAAAAATACTTGAAAATAATAATTTTAACTTTTAATGTTTAGAGGATAGATTCATTTAATATTTATAAATTATAATTTAATATTATTTTTTGTCTATATTTTCTTATTTTGCATAAATCTAAATCCATAATATTTAAACATCTCTTTTAATATGAATATTTAAATTTCAATAAATATCCATAAAATTTATTAAATAAAATAAAAAATTCAAAAAAGTTTGCTAATTTCTCAATATACAAAATACACAGTTATCATTGAATAAATAAATCAACTAAATTTGACGACCTTTACCCATTCATTCTATATGTAAAAAACAAATACTACTATAAATTAGTAAGTATATTATATTGATTGAATTTTTACATTATACTATTACAGTATATTTTACAATTATTTATCTTAATATATCAATAGTACAGGTTATATATGCTCTCATTTCTTAATATTTTATTATACATCTAATAATTTTTTATAAGATTATTGTCTTATTTAGATAAATGTTATTTTATAACCATATATGTATGTGCAAGTTTTTGATAATTAAAATCAAAGTAAATAATTATTTTCAATTAATATGAGTTTATCTGTTCTCTATCAACAAGAATCATACATTTATACAATTCAATAATACAATATAACTTTTTCTATAAATTTTTTTAAAGATATCAACTTCAAGTTCACTATAACATAGTTTATATTTCTTGTGATCTTTTTCATAATATAGCTACAGATATCATCCTAGAATATATATATATATATATATATATATAAAATAAGAAAATTAAGCACTAGACGTGGAAGGGGCCAGAATCTAAAGAGGCTGGCCAGCACCACAAGTCTGAAACAAGACAATGGAAAAGAAGGTGTGACGCGGATTTCACCTCCGCTCCCCTTCATTGAATTTAGGCAACCACGGCAAATTCCAAGCTTCTGGGTGCTGATGCAGACCCATTTTTTTTTATAATATCCTTTCAGTTTTATTAAACTAAATGGATATTATTAAATCATAAGAACTCACAGCTTTTATCGTGGGTCCAAGCACTTATGGCCATTTAATTTATATTTATTAAAAGTTTTGAAAATGGAATATTAAGAGGGGCAGAGGCAATGCTAAAAGCCGAGCCTTTTTGGGTTTGCTCCTTTTGGAGGTTTTCCTGTGGGGAAACGTCAGGGCAACTTGGCCAGGTCATAACTCATAGGCGGGGGTTAATTATTATTCATGAACATTGATTTGTACTTTTAAAATTGATTCTGCCTGTGCCTAGTTGCTCTTAATTGTAGTGGGCTTGGATTATGTGAACTTAGTTTTTTAGAGATGCATTCCATCTTAAGACCATGATCAGCCTTTGAAAAGGAGTTTTATGCCTATGTTAGAAAATGAGTTGGGTTTGGATTTTGACAAAAATTTAAGAGACCAAGCATATGAATATTACTTTCTTTGTATTAGATATTTTTTTATAGGTT